CCTCAGCCAGGGTCAACCCACCACAGGTGTCAGGTATCACCCTGTAATTCATCAGCGTAATAACTGTTGTAATTTACCTTCTGTCAGGATGCTGCTGGAACAGCAACTAGAACGTTCTTATAGACCAGGTTCCTACAGAATGAAAAAAAAAAAAACCCAACACATCCTCCTGCAGCCCTGAGAGCCTGTGGGATATGCCAGAGACGGCCAAAACAGAGGTGACCTTTTATAGGTAATAAAGGTTTGATGTGGCCCGTGGGCCACACTCTAGGGACCCTTTCTTCACAGTGTGCCTCATAAAAGAACATTCCTTTAATTTGTCTGTGTTGAAAGAGGCTTAAGACCATGCCTAATGTCTTCCTTTAAAGTCAGATTTCTAAAGATATCTGCTGAATACTTACATCAACTAAAAATAAATGTGAATTGTCATACTATTAAGATTGGGCCAAAAATAAATGGAACAAAGTAATAATCACAGAAACCTTTAAGATTTCCTTCTAATAAAGAGGTGCCCTACATACTTCACAGAGGATTTCCTTATCCTTTCCAGTGCCAGATTCTGAATCCAAAACTGCAAATTATCTTAACTTTAAAATGTCTTCAAAGATGACAGAGACAGGGTAGATACAAGGATACACAGAGTAGCTATAGAAATCCTAATAAAAGCACTGCTCAGCATACAGTGGTAGGCAACTTAACAGGCACAACTTTGTACCATCACTAAAATGCCAGCATATATTAGAAGATAACCCATCTTCTATAAATTATTAGCTTCTAGGGGTCAAAGATACTCCAGTTTATAACCACTCACTACCTGACACAATACTACTTCTCTTATCCTATTCTCTCAAGCAGAAAAAAATGAAATAGTGTGCACATCCTTTTTTATCAACTACCCTAACATCTACACAAATGCATTGTGCACCATACTTCAAATAATCATTTTGTGCAGTAACATACAACACAAATATTTCATAACCAGCTATGAACCTTGTATCTGTTCACTAAATATGCAATTACTTACAGGAATGTTGATGAAAACTGTATCGAACTCTGATGCTGACAGAAACCTTTTCAATGGCACCATGAAAAACTACAACAAAATAAAAATGTATATATACATCATATATTATTATATTTTCTAGACTCTTATAAAAATACATAAGTAAAAATTCTGTAAGTAGTATCTTACTTTCTCTATCGATTCCAGAGTTTCAGTGTATTTCTCTTCAGTTTGCTTTATTTCAGCAAGACAACAGCTTCTTATGTCATTTTCAGTATATTTCTGCAATTACAATGGAGTCAAGTTTAAGTCATTAACAGGCACCTAATGGATAAAAAATGTATTTATTTGTTTAGAATTAAGCAATTAGGATAACTGCTTCCTGAAATTTTCTGAGTACTGCAGCCTCCAAAGATGACAGCAATAACCAAGAATATTTTAATGTTCAATTAGCTGATGACTTTAAGAGTTTTACTAGAATTCAGCATCAAAGAAATATTATGAAAAGTTAATGTTTAGACATAAAATACTGAACTCTCTGCTTGTACTTTGGAAACTGAAATACAAGGTCACATTTAATTTACATCCAGACTGAGAAATCTTCTTTAAAATACTCAGCAGTTCATAATTCCATTAAACTTAATGGAACTAAATCATGTAAGTAACTTTGCATTGCCATAAATATTGGATTCAGTCTAATCCCTGCACTTATTTACAGTTCTTCCATTTTAGTTCTCGAGGGGAGCTTTCTCGTCAGACACAATGTATGTCCTCAAATCAAGAAGTGCAGTGACCTCTAAGTTCAGCTCTTGCTTATGTATGTGTGTGTCTTCAACAAGACCCTGGGATTTTTCCATGTAAACTACCAGACTCATAGGAAATTGAAGTAATTATCAGCACAGGACTCTATAAAATAGTTTACAAGCACTCTTAATGAAGATCAAATTTACAGCATTACAGCTTCAATAACTTGCAAATCTGATTTCAAGTAAAAGAGTAAATACCTGGAAGAAGGTACAAAAGCATTCATGTCAATCAAGACTTAAAACATCTAGAGACATATAGGTCAGTTTGGAGACCTGATGCTAACTGGATAGGCTCTTACAAATAAAAGCAGTAATTGATCCAAAATGTTTTCTCCAAAAACAACAATAAGCAGTGGCTTAAAAAGCAATAGTACTGTCACATCCTTTCTGAATCTTATTTACCTATCTGTAACATCCTTCAGCATAGCCCTGACTGCATCTTACCTTTTTTCACCCAGCATAGGGAATCCACATACTGCATGTAATAGACCTGATGACTAGACATTACTCAAATACAGGGGGATTCAGGACTAGATACTTAGCACTACAGTTCTTTCCATTTGAAAAAGACTTTCAGCTTTCAAACAAAAGACTTTTCTCCTCCAGGAATAGCAAAGCTTCTGGACTGAAATTTGAAGAATTAGCTCTTAGTATGTCCAAGAGCTATACTCCTTCTGCTCCCTCTCTCTGCTATCACTCTGCTAAGCACACCACAACAAAAAGCAAGCCTCACTTAAACTGTCCATGAGCCACATACAGCTCCTATGATATTGCTTGGCCACCTATGTTTCTGCCTAAACTAGTTGTGAATCATATAGGCACATAAAGCTTCGTCACTGTTCGCACTTCTGTTTGCTGTTTTGACGCATCTCCTTTACTCTTCCCTCTGTTTGTCTCCATGTGACTCTACACACAGCTCCTGTAACTGGAACATGGCTTCTCACTCATCTACCAGGTGCTGTGCTATCTCAAAAATTACTCTTCAAAACCCAGCCAGTGCAGTTATTAATTTTCCCCACAACAAACATTAAAGCACCATCCTTATCAGCTGCAGACAGAAGTAACCATTTCGCAAAAATACAGTCTGTCATTATCAGTAGAAATGTACTTTGTCAGCATCATCTGATGATCAGACACATCTCAAAATCTATCATTTATTCCAAAATTCTTTGGCAGGGGAAAGCGGCACTGTCACAATTAACCATAATTAATCTCAATAAAGTATTAAAACTTAACATTAATCAGGCTTTTAGTTATTTCTCACCTTTACCTTTGTGAGCTCAATACTGTTCAAATTGCTTGTAGTATTTGCACCAATTCAGACGTTGTTGTACGCAACAGGAGTTTATATACATTTGCAAAATATGAGGGTTTGCTGTTCACCAACTCTCATATGAGCAATGCAGACTAAATCCTGGGATTCCACGTAAAACAATTCACTTCAGTTTTGTACTCACCTAACCCAAACAGATCATTCACGTACGCACTTTTGGCAGAAATTAACATACCACTTTTTTATCGGTATCAGAAACTTCTAGAATTTGAGTGCAATAAATAAAAGGAGAGAAGAAATACAAAATAACATGCAAATACCAGTACAAGTGAGAAAAAATTGCCTTTGAAGGTCACCTACTGCTAGAAAATAATTTAGTGGAACATTAGTTTACTTGGTCAGATAATGACAATAAATCAAGGATGAGGGAGATGCAAAGCATTTTGGCTGCTACTGGAGACTCTGAAAAATATTGGGTTCTCCTAAGAAATCTACTTGAAGATTGTCCTGTGCTACTGTTTAATATACAAGGAATTCTCATGTAGGATTCAAATTAAAGAACTCCATAAAATCACCATGTTAGCATGCGGCGTATTTGTAAACCTGACAGGAAGTTATCACAAAACAGAAATAATCACCACATTCAAGAAAGCTGCCACAGCAAAACAACTGTAGTGTCTCCATCCATTTCATGTTCTGGAAAAAATATTTTGCTGAACCATGTTTTCAATTAACATTTACTTTCTATAAGACACAAATGCAAGTCTGTTCAATCTGAAGTATCTAGGCTAAGATGCAACTAAAATTAGAACGTGAAAGTTCCGATTGCTATATTAATCATTTGCTAGAAACACAGATATGCGAGAGTGACATTTGCAACAGGAAAGAAAAAAGAATCAGAGAAAGTTTACATACTACCCACTGCTAGAGATTGCCAACTGTTACAGTTGAAGAAAAAAAAAAAGCCACCCACACTCATTACATGAAACCCAAAACTTAATGCATTTTGAGTTTCAGTATAGAATAAAAACTCAAAACAAGATCACAGTAAAGATTTCCTATTATTCAAACACTTTTCTAAAATATCCTGCCTGCAAGTGAACGCGACTTCATTAGATGTAAACCAGTGTTTTTTCAACTCAATTTTTTATTTGGTTTTCATTGAATCTCCTAAACTTTGGGAGGTAAAAAAAATTAAGCCACATGTGAAAAACTAACATAACTTTCTGCTTATCTCATCCTTAATTTATATGCATTACCTGCAAGATTTTGTATTAACAGAAAAACAGGCTAGAAAACAATATTGTTAACTCAAAACAATAAAGACTAAAACAAGGCAGTAGTCTTCCCAAAGACAAGATAATGGTAACTTTGGGGAATCACCATAAAAGCAGAGAACACAAATCACATTTGGTATCTCCTCTACTTGTATTGAGAAGATAGACAAGGTGTTAAAAAACAAACAAAAAAATATCTTTAGACTTCTTCATCTAACTATATTACTAAAACACAATATGGAAAAGTAGAAGCAAGTTTTCAACTTAAGACAACAGGAAGCATAATATGCTTCATGGCAATACAGAGGAAGAAAACAACTGTCCTAAAAAACATATCCTACCATGGCCACAGACTAACACTTTCCAGATCAGAAAGCACATCTCAGAAAGGGCAGACAAGTACGTTAGGTTTTCTCCCAATTGGCAAGTAAATTTTATTGCCTAAGTTCAGATTTTTTCCAAGGCAGTTTTGAAAACTGACCATGGTACCTTTACATGATAAAGTGATTAAGCTACTTATCCCCTTCTCAGTAAGACCAATCTAATGATCAACAAAACACTACATGGTTTAATAAGCAGGAATTCCATTGGTATGAAACAATTATCAGTTGTCCTTGTTAGATTAGTTGTCCAAATTATGGCTGAAAGAACAGTGTTTCACAATACTATAACTGAAATTTTGAAGTGGGATGCTTTGAAGCAAGCAGTTGATTTAATTGCTCTTAAAATAGCTAGTAAATCTTACCATTCATAACCGGCAACCCTAACAAATGAAGTAATTGTTGGATTTCATTTTAAAATTACGTTTCTTTCAAAAAATTACTATAGTTAACATTTGACCCTTTGCCAAACCAGTCTGCAAAGTCTTACAGAGGAGATAATGCACTGCACGTGACAGCTCCGGATGCTACTGAGCGCAAGTGAAGTTTCAGTGAAACTAGCTATAAAGAGATAATATCACTAATATTAACTTTCAAAAATATAACTGCTATAGTTTGAAAATAGCTAGGAATTGGAAAACATACAGGTTGCTGTGCTGCTTCATCTTTCATTAGGTCTTCATAAACCTCCCCACCTTCATCTTCTCCATAGACACAATCATACAACTCTTCATCTTCATCAACACCAGTTTCACTGAAAATAAAAAGACAATAAAAAAAGCTGAGCAGCACAGGCAAATTACTATCAGCTCTGCAAGTGACCACTCCTCACAGGAAAACATTTCTACAGTAAACAAACAGATTAATTAATAGAACTATCTAATGAAAAGAACCCATTAAGAAAATGAATGGTCTTATTTTCCCTTTCCTCAGTGCATTTAAAATATGATTGTACAAAAATCAACACAACACTGAAGACTCTGTGAATTGGAATCACACAGGAACTAAACCAGACACCAAAAGCAGCTTGTCAGGACAGTTTTATTACGAGGTACTGTGCAGCTGCTCTCTTCTCTTTGTCCCTTTTCCCATCACATCAAGTGAAGTGGAGCTGCCTCTCCTTACTGCCTGGCATCGCACTGCACTGGGATGTGAGACACCGGTACAGGTATGGTTCTCACCAAAAGAAAGGATTATCTGGGATAAAATACACTAAAGACTGCAAAGCCAGCAGCTGAGAGTCTGTACCTCCACATCATAAGCCAGTATCTCAATCACTTCACGGCAACCTTCAGCTACCCAAAAATGAAAAAAAGCAATCTTTCAAACTGCAAATCAGACAGTACAATAAAATAGAGTATGCACAAGAAGTGTCCTCCTACTAACCCGACTACAGAAGTATCTCAGCATAAAATCAGTGCTCAGGTCTACCATCAGCTAATTCAGCTTCATTAGTCAGTCCATCTGAAGTTTTGTCTATTTAGCACTAGAACCATATTAAGCCCATAATATCTCTTTCACTCACATTTCTTAGGGTATGTCTACAAAAGAACTCTAAAATACATTGAAAGTAGTCTGGTCATAATAATACAGAAACTTGATCAGATGTGCTGATAACAATGAGATTTTTGTTGTTGGAAGACAACACTGAAATCCTTCAGAGTAAAAAAATAAATTCAGGATTGCTCCACTAGAACTAGGAAGGACAACCATTTCTGCAAGTGGATCATCAGTACTCAGGAACAGGACATCAGAAGCTCTACCAGCAGGGACTAATGATTTCAAAGAAATCAAAATGAATGAGAATTGCTACCAATACAGCTGCCACACGGACTATTTGGAAATGCCATACAAAATCACTACATCTGTAGTCAGGACTATATACAGAAACCAAGTCGATTTTTTATTTCTCATTAAATATGCATCATCTTTGTTGTTGTTTAAATCGAGGACATCAGAAGGATAAAGCAAACAACCGTTAGAAGTTTCAGTAGATGGAGTGATTAAAAAAAAATATTTGGGGGATTCAACAGAATGCAGATATTGCTCACATCCCTCCCTTTTCCAACAGATACCAGAAAGCCCAGGTGCTCCAGGTTAGTCTAACATTTCAGCGTGCACCAGTGATGGTGGTGTGCTAGCATTTCACATTAAACACTAGCAGCTGTGTCAGATGCAGCACACACTCCATTTTACTGTCTATGCTCCAGGGAACAAAAGCTGGCAAAAAGGCAGAGTAAGGATAGAAATGTTTAAATACTACAGCTCTTTCAACTTTCAGAAAGCCTTAAATTCATTCTACATTCCTTAGACACCATTTAAACTCAAGGACAATTAGATTAATTTTAGCCAAATACACTTACTAATTAAGATAAACTAAAAAATGTGGTCCATTTGCATCATTCACTGGCACTTTTGTTTCTTATGAAGAGAGTACTTCTTGAATTGTTTCCTCCACAATTGAGACAGCATGTAACTATGAAATTTCAGTGAGTAATATTTGTAATTTGATGCAAAAGAGCAGCTATGGATCTCAATTTCTTTGGTATGATTATGTTTTTTTTTTCTTTTAATGGACTGTCTCCCAGTATTGAATTTGTATACCTATTTAAGAACTGATAGAAATATTATTTTCAAACAGTGCTAATGCCACCACATCCAAGAGAGGAGGACATCACCTTTAGCCCACCCAGGTGTCAGAGGAGACTGCAACTCCTACCTTCTGCACATTCAGCTAGACAGAGTGAAAAGCAGCTTTCTATGAGACAGCCACACACCTGCAGGACACAAGGAGGAGTTTTCCAGGGGAGGTGATAAGTTGAGCAATGCCAACCACAGCAGGCTTTGTTTCCCCTTCCTTCTTTACAGGCAGTAAAGAGACAAATCAACAGCGTGCACAGCAGCTACTTCACCAGATCACAGCAAGGGACATCGAATGTGGCCAGCGCCAAGATAGAGCCAGATGGGCACTAGCGATGGTGAACTTTGAGCTTTGGGACAGCGAGCTCTGATCCTAGCTCTTGTCCAACACGATTCCTAATGGATCTTGAGATATTCTAGCCATAGGATACAAAGAGTAGCTCTTCCTGACAATTTTTTATGCCCAGGTGTATTTACCTCACCAGTCTGCAAAATAAAGCTGCAGTCTACCATTCGATACTATACAGTATGTTCACGTCTCTCTCACTTGTACCTCAAAGCCAATGTGAAAATTGGGAATAATTAATAATCCTGCAAACACTTGCCCAGAGAGGTAAATGCACTCATATGAAAGTTTCACTGACTTTAGAGAAATGACCCGCTTGAATTATGATCCAAACATGTTGGCTTTTTTTGCAAGTTCAAGACAATTTCCTTGATTCCCTTACAACTGATATTGTAATTCTATGAAAGCATTCTCATAGTACAGACAGATAATTTAAAAATGCATTCATGATTTACTTTGCTACAAGCGCTCTCCATGAAATATGCTTCCTTACATATATAAATGTATTACAATCATTCAGATAAGCTTTCGTAATTAATTCTTCCTGGACAGCATAACAGCTAACAAAATCTTTTAAAATCAAATAAACATCCCATTCTCATTAAATCTATGTGTTCTATAACATCATATAACTAATAGCATGCAACTGAAAGCCAAAATCTTTAACTAAAGATTTACAACATACTCTATTAAATCAGGAAGACTTTTGTAGATATCTTCATCATCAACGCTTTCTTCTGTAGGGAAGGGCCTATAGAAAGAAAAATAGCATGAAGTATAGACAGCACTAGTCTAGTCATATAGTGGGGTTTTGTTTCTTTTCTAGAATTTTCACACAGCTTACTATATGTTAATGTGTTGGTACATTCCCCTCTTCCTCTGATGAAGAGTATACACGTATTTAGACTTCTATACATGATACTGGATTTACAACAACCCTACTGGATGGGGTTGTTATAAATCACCACTAATATACATCATTATCAGTTTTTCAGCTAGGAATATTAACTACTACTTTTAGCACGGGACATGGATTATAGGACTATGTTTTTAAAACATCATCTATGTTTTTAAAACATCATCCATTCATATATGATAAGGCTGCTGAATCAAACCATTCAAAAAGATGGAGAACAACAAAGCATGAAGTCTTTCACCTTCTCTCACAGCCCACAATTATAGTTCATGAGGTTAGTTTTGGTTGGGGTTTTTTGGTTTCTTTTTGAAAATGAGAATCTCACAAACTTGGCAGTTTTGCTGATTTTTAGAAGGGAAAAAGAAGAGAAAACCCATTTGTCTTTACATACAATCAGCACTGCATCAGCCTGACTTAGAATCCATGTGTCGCAATTATCACACAAGTTCTGTAATACTAACTGCTCATTTGTCCACCCTGTGCTTCTACACAAGAAGTAAACGCAGTTCAGGCACTTCAGTAAGAGGTAGAAGATACCCTTTGGAGATCCTCAGAGGTCCAGAACCTTGGTTAGCTGTCCACTGGGCAATTTGGTTTACAACCACAGAAGTTCTTACTGGGGGACACTGCCTATACTGCCTCTAACAACTTTTCCAAGGAGCATCACGCAAGAGGCTTTTTCACTAAGGCAATAACATACCTTATTCCTGTGCCTATTGCAATAGGAGTGCGAGAAAGCTTTGAAAGTGTTTCTATCACCTGGAGAAGAAGGAAACAGAAACCATGATTAGGTACAGAACAGAAGCAATAAAACATTTTGTTCTCTACTGTTTAATTATCAGCAACACCATTTCATATTGAATAATGTAAACAGACACAGGTCATATGTCACAAATTATACATTCAATTTGCAATTGCATCAAGTGTAATCAAATTTTATCTTACAGACTGCACTGAATTATTTTTTTATTGTAGCTCCAGAAGGAAAATCCTCGTTAATTTGAGCTTTTCCAAACACTGGCCAGAAGAGGGAGCCAAATGCCAAACCAGCAGAAAGGCATCTTTCATCAGTGTTCAGGACTGGCTTGCAAAGGAAAGGTAATCTCTTATTAACCAAACAGTTAAAGAAGCTGCATAAGCTTTGTTTATTTTTAGAAGATGGCAGCAATTTGGAAGATCTCATTCTAAGAAAATACCTCCTGTAAGCCTCAAGGTTATACAATAAGAGAGGGAGAACACTGGAGAGGGTACAATACATGTACACGGTCACATACACAGAGTCACTTTGCTGTCGGCTGTAACAACACAAGACCAACTTGTACTCTGCCTAACATGTCCTCTCTGTCACAAGTATTTTCTCTTATTTTGAGCGCTACCAGATTGGCAAGTCTTATTTGCTAGGGAGAGCAAAATAGGCAAGATGACACCCTGTATGAATTCCAATGACAAAGTTCCCCTGAACTTCCCAGAAGTTTCAGGGTGGGTCTTTACAATTTGCAATCTGTATTAAGCTGACGTGAAATTTCCAAAGAAGGTTTTTATTGGTAGTATCAAAATAGCAGTATAGCAATTCTATGTTCCATGGGCATTTGAGAATAACCTCTGCAATCAAAATTACTTATTTTTGAAGTTCTAACTACAAGACTAACTTGACCATAAAAAAGTACATCTCTCAAAAGAAGGACAATGACATGTTTACACAAGAGAATGACAAAGTAAAAACCACAGTGAATAATCACCAACTACAGAGCTTAAACTGAAGTTACAAAGCCTCCAAATGTGAATCAAGTCCCATATGCAGATCAGTAAAATTCAGAATAAACTAAGTTATACCACTCCTGTGAAAGGAACGTTTTGGGTTCATTTAAGCTGCTGTGAAAATTAATGTCTTACAGAAATGTCAAAGAATGATAAAAACAAATAAATATGCTAAGAAAAATAAACAAAGGTGCAGGCATATTAATTCCCATACAAACAGAAGAACTGCAATGCAGCCTAGAATAGGTTTCAGAAATTGTGACTAAAATTTGATTGAATAAACCATAAAGTTAATTAAAAACTATTACACATTAGTCAAAAGGGAAAAAAAAAAAAAACCAACCAAAAAACCTCCTTTACACAGTCTTGCTGTTGCAGGGGAGTTCTGGTTTCGGTACCAGACCAGAATCTGACTCTCCACACCTGAGAGAATTCCCAGTGCAGGTCTGCAAGGACTGCTGAGCCGCATGAGACAAGACATTGTAGGAACTTAACCAAAAAATTCAATAGCTGGCAAAATGATCTGTCCTGACAGATGGGTTAACATTGATTGGCAAAACCACAGGAAAAGAGGTTTAATGATTATCGAAACAGAGTGCAAGTCTGGTGAATTTAATATCCCTTTCCTGTTTCAATGCATTATTTTCCAGCACACAGAAAATCTTTTGCAAACTACTCCACCCATGCAAACCCTTTCCTTAGAGGGAATCCCACTTATCTAGCATAATCAAACCCAGCAGAAGTATGTCTTAGTCTTAACAGCTAACTATGGTTGCTTCAAGATAGCACGAAAGAGATCTGTACAAAAAATAATTATGAATTTTAGTAACATAACCAAGAAAAGTTATTCCCAAAACGTACTGCCAAATTACATTTTACAGCTGTAAAACAGACACAAGAGACAGACTTCTAAATTAAGGGAAATAGAAAATTTTTTTCAGGAACTGATGGGAAACCTGGGGAGGGCGGTAATCATCACAACAGCTGTCAGTATCTCACGAGACACACGCTGCCTTCGCCAGAAGTATGGGATAAGGCATAGCCACACTGGCATAGAAAAGGGGAAAGGTAACGGGCAGAGATCACTATTCTTCTCTTTCAGAACAAAACAATTTAGAACTGAAGACCATTAACCACCCCAGTATGTATTTAAGAATACATAACTGAAAGCAGACATAACTTCCACAAAATAAAAGGCAATACCTGCCCTATTGCGCCTACTAAAGCACAGCTTAAAACAGCGCTCTGTCAAGGAACAGAACAGTTTGTACTGAGGGGGTCTTGTTCCTGCTACTGTGGCTTCCTTAAAGAATTCTACGAAAAAGTCAGGAATATTTACACAAGTCAGAATACTTACACAAGTAATCGTACATGAAACTACCACTTCTGGTCAACACATTATTTCAACATTACATATATGTAAATGTATTTACTCCAACAAGAACTGGGGCAAAGAAAGATTGTCCTTCCACATGAAATTTCAGTTCTTTGGTTCTGAGTCACTGCAGGAACTCTTAAGAATTCTCCAATTCCATGGGGATGGTCCATGGGGAAGGTTGCAGCTACGATAGGCTGAGTTGTCAGAACAACAATCAGAGTTTCAACAGACATTCATCAAAACAAACTAAATCCAGCAAAATGTCTGATTTTCAACAAACTGACAGACTCAAGAGTTTTTCAGAACAGTTCTGGTTTGCAGCCCTATACAGGGACACTATAACATAGTGCAATTTTGAACTTCGAAATTACAGTGTATCATACACATGAAAGTCCATAACATTCAATTTAATGGTTTTCATGTGCTTTTTTTGTCTTGCTCTCTTCCTTTCAGCAGAGCTTTAATCTGTTTTACCCTAAACGATTGCCCAGTTCTCTTCCACAGCAAGGACTGAGGCAGATGCTTGCGTACCTCTGAAATGAGCCTAAACTGGATCTTCGCTTAAGTGCAAAAGTAGGACTCCTTGCTTATGCAAAGTCCAGAACAGAGCTTCCATAGCTGGCACTGCTCTACAGCAAGCAACTGCACAAAGGCTGCAGGGCCTTTGCACACACGCTATTACCAGTAACAGGCAGTGAAAACTAGAAACCGAGAAAAGATTTGTATTTATGTTCTGCTATTCCCAAACATCCTGCAATGACTACATCCCTTCACGTTGGAAAGCTCAATAACTCTCTGACACTCCTGCAGCCGAACTGAAACTGGGAGATATTAGCAAGAGACTTTCAGGCATAAAAGGAAGCCCCACCTGCACCCGCCTCACTATAGCTCCTTTGCACTGACTAATGCCATCAGACAGGGGTTAAGCAACTCTTTAGAAGTCACATCAAAGCCACGCTCGCTTCAAAAAGATGTGAACATCCAAGTTTGTTTTTCAGTATATAGCCAGTTTATGCAAAATACGACATGAAATTCAAATCTACGGCCCTGCAAGAGGAAGCAGGACGCAGCTTGCGCCCCAGCGAGTGGCTCTGCTCTTCATTCATATTTCAGGCACTACACATTAACTTTTTACTTCAGGAATTACTCAAACAGCAGATTTTTTTTTTTAGCTTTAGTATTTATTGTTGTTTCACTTGACTTACTGTTGTAGGTCAGGGTCTCCGGTTTATGTAAGCACTTTCATATTCCTTGCTGAAACTTTATTTTGTAATTTCCTGCAGCCATACTCTTCAGTAAATCACGTCAGATGTTCCTATGCATGCTTACAGCAGCAGTATACTAGAAGGACTATTTTCCACAGCAGTGGTGTGTCTGAGTTTAAAATGTGCCTTCCTATTTTGGTAGGGGGCACTTTTTAATCTTGTTTCTTAAAGAACAACTTCACAAATCATGTAGTTCAAGAACAAAGCACATTTTAAAGGTATTTTTCCACTTTTAGAAGAGTAAATCATTAAGCTATTGACAGCTGCTGTCAGGACTAGGCCCATGCTTATATTTCTGAGGTTTATGTGAACTGAAAACATGAAGTGATCAACAAACATTGATGGCAACAGCTTCATCATTTATGCCAACAAAACCTAGAAAGACTCACTTGTCCGTTAG